ATCAGGCGCACGACAACCCTGGCACATCACTTTTTAGAATTTTCGAAAACTTCTTTCAAAAGACGATCAACCTACGAGGCGCTGTGAGCTGAAAAATTCTACCGTAATCCTACAGTAATGAAGACGATTGGCGATTAGTCTTTACTGTAAATCTAAGTTGAAGCCAGCACTATAACATCGTCATCTTGAGAGAGAGATATTAACATCATACAGTGTGTACATACTTTTGAGACACCCTGTATATGAACAAATGGTAAATATAGGTAACGTGAAATCAGATAGTTTGAATAGATTTTGTGAATCTTCTTTTAGCTGCGTAACTTTGCGGCGAGGTTATTCATGAATGTGGCTTTTAGTTCATCTTGAGCGTTCACCCTCGCCTTTCTTGACTATAGTCCAAACTTCCTCATCTGGTTCACAGCGCTCGTGATTACACTAATTGGATGAAGCCCAAACATGAGTTGTTGGTCACTTTTTCTTTTTGTTCGATAATGAAGCTACAGCGGCTCTTCAATAGGAAGACATGCGATTGTTTTGAAAATGATTAACCCGTATTTTTTCGTCAACCTTACGCTCAAATGCTATATGATGAAACTTCCCTTGCAAAAGATCTAAAACGTTGTTTGTTCCACAATAGGGGAGGCTCACTATACGCAACAACAGGACATCTATTGTACATTAAAATCCTTGACCGGCATAACACGCCAAGAAACTTGAATGAAGGGAGAGAACTTACTTGAACAAAGGCAAATCGATATTAGGGCACAATCTTTCGAATAATATCACTACAACGCTGACCATAGCTATAGAGTGACACTGAAAAATTACGGTAATTTGCGTTGTAATTGATGCAATTGTCTGAAAACCCATCACTCTGTGGCAGTGGCGTACCGATAAAGAGGGGGCGGGGGAAGGGGGATGCTCGCGAAATTTTCGAAAGTTACTCAAATGGTTATAAAAATGTGCAAACTGCTTATTTTTGCTCATAAATAATTGAAACAATTTTTAGATTTAAAAATACAATTTAGCCTTGTGAAAAAGTTTTGCGAAGAAAGTGGCTGACGTCAAGCACCTTCATCCAAAAAAATTTTGTCGTCCCTCTCCCCGAACGGAAATCCAGGGTACGCCACTGCTCTGTAGGTACCAACATCATATCAGGAAGGCTCCAAATTTCATTGATTTCGGCCCTAGAGGAATGAAAAATTGAAAAAAACGTGTTCAGAGAGCTGGTTACATCTATAGAGCCACCTCCTATGTTTATGCAGTATTTTCCAAACCTAAAGCTTTTCGCGGAGTTACAGCATCAAAATATGAAACATTTACATCCAGGTGCTATCGCTTTGAAAAGAAAGTTTATACTGCATTTTTTTGCTCCAAATGCATAAAAAGTCACATTGTATCAGAAACTGCTAGTTTACTAAGTTTTCAAGCGATTATAGCACTCGGTTAAAGGCACTGGGATTCACTGAGCCTTTGAAACGGATGCGGTAAAATGGGCGGCTTGAGTCAACTTTGCATAGTCGCTGATATTGATGAGCGAGGTTTAATGTCACGTTCGGGTAGGCGACCGAACACCATAATTTATCTAATGCCAGAAAAGCTCCGCGATGTGTTCACTACGTCTGTACAACGATAGACTCGTGCTCGCACTGCGCATTGCCGGAACATCATCGCGACTGTCAGTATTCCAGTTTTGTCAGAAGCGCAGTTCTACGTGATCATGATCCATCTAACGGCCGAAGACTATTCGAAACACCAGAATTTCAATGCTGATGTAAGATTCAACTTGATGAGTAATTGAAAGTGTAAAATTTGGAGTCATGATCGCACAACTGAAATGCAGATAGTGCGTTTACTCCATTTTTGCCTTTGCGAAGATTCCGACAACTTTTGTATTAACACATCGTTACGCAAATACTGGGTCAACTTCCGACCAAAAATTTTTGCGCGTTAGAAATCGAGCTTTTTGGATAGAAAGCATGCTTACACACATGGTAAGATTGAGGTTCGTTCAGCAACATCAGCCTCTATGCAACGTCGACTCAAGCGATACATTGCTAGTGTCATCCCCAGTGAGGTGCTTGAAAACTTACTGAACTAGCAGTTTTCAAAACAATGTGACTTCTTATGCTTTTTGAGGCAAACAATGCAGTAAAAATCTTCTCTTCGAAAGGCACCTGGCTGTAACGAATGTTTTATATTTTGATGCTGCAGCACAAAAAAAATTCAGGGCTTGAAAATGTAGTACTGCTCGAAAAAAGAAGGTGGCTCTATAACTGTGAACAGAAAGAAAAATTGAAGAAATTGAAAAAAAACGTATTTAGATGAAAGTCATCTAAACACGTTTTTTTCAATTTCATTTTTCTCCACCAGATGCAATGAAATTCGAATCCTGAACAAATATAACATTTGTTTTGCACACAGAATAGTGGTTTTTTAGACAATTTCATCCAAGACAGAGCGAACTACGATTTTTTTGGGGGTGGCTCTATAACTATGGTCAGACTGTGCATGCACTATCGCGTCATTTTTTTCTAATCCCTGCTACTCCGGACCAGAGCGTACTGTATTGTCAAGTTGACACCCACCAATGAGTCCTATGGTCTAATTTAATAGTTTCTGTAGAAGGATCATAAGATATGTCTTCACAGGTTTGCCCAGAGGGCATTCAGAGATGTCTGAAATCACTCATTCTCATTCTTTTCGTTGAGCGACGAAGTCACGACGGTCATTCTGTACTAAATCAGCATTGTGCATTCATTAGGTTGCTGCATAAGTTCTGTCCGATTCGAGATTTTGAGTTCAAAATGTCATAACTTCTTTCAAAGTCAACTTTTTTCCAAGATCTTAGTTTCATTATGATGAGTAGCTCCTTGGCTATCAGAAACGTGTTGAGACTTGCAAAAATCTTTGTTTAGGAGGAAGCAAGAACTCAAAAACTTCACAGCGTTTTTCTTCAAACCTGTCTTTTTTGACATGACAATGCTCCCTTATGAGAATTGATAAGCATCTTGTCTAACAATGGATAGATAGAGAATTTTTCGTAGATTTATTTGCACCACAAAAGAGCCCATAGGGTCTTTGTTGCCAAGAGATTTTTTTGACCGAACAAAAAATTAGCCACTTTTTGACCTCGCTTCAGCGCATGTGTGCATGCCTATTTACGAATTATGAAAATTTTACAACTGACGTGAGCGGCGAAAAGGAATTGGTGATGAGTCCTGATAGCTCTTGCTTTACCCTAGTATCTTCAACTTTGAACTCATCGATTATTTCTATTCGCAGAAAGTTATTGCTTGTAAAACATCAATACAAAAAATTAATGTTCGACAACAAATTTTCCTAGCAAGACGTTTTCTTTATGGAACTGAGCTTCTGCATATACTAGTCTTCTACACCCTCATTCCTCAACCAATGAAAGAACTTGACTTTAGGGCGCATTGTGGAGATTTTCTTGCAAGAACATATTTCTAGAGTTAGAACGTACCTCGACACTTGAAGACTTTAGGCCTGAAATGTCGTTACTAAGAAATTTATTGAAATTTGATATGCATTAGAAAGAGCATGAAAAGCACTTTCCAGTGATACTAACTAAGAATACCGCGTTAGAGATGAAATTCTCTTAGAACAGCTCTTTCAAACATAAAGCAAAAAAATTAAATTCGAATAGAACTTATGCAGCAACCTAATATATAATGAATGATTCCAGTATGACGTAAATAACGTTGAATTTTTCCTTTTAGTGGGCGTTTTTCACCAAAGTTCTTCTTGAAATCTGAGAATTTGGCTGTGCCGCGGCAGTGGCTGTAGTATAGAGGGAAGTTTAATTGGCACTAACACATACTCTGCAATCCAACCCATGATAGATCGTACGTGCCCGGTTTTTTCGAAAAAAAAAACGATACACCGGCGGGTAGTCTCTTTGCCAAAGTTTTGACTTTGCCAGTTTACGATGAACTCAAGAGATATTAGCTTCTAGCTGGGTACACATGGACGAAGTTCCAGCACAAGCCAGCACTAAGGACAATCTGGACGCTGGCTGCTGGTCAAAACTGGTTCGAGCTTGTAAAAAAAATATTGCTATCTTTGATCAGTTATGAGAGCGCGTAAGATCAATTCAGCATTGAGAACTTGTTTATGCTATTTTAAAGATAGCAATCCCTCACTACACAATTCTAATGAACCTAATTATGAAAAAATGTGCTTTTGACAATTTCTAGTTCTGGAAGGTTTGATACAAAAACTTCAGTAACAACTGCAAATAAACAATTTTGATTAGCCTTATTACGTGTGGATGTCTTTAGCTAGGTATAGAGCTATAACATAGGTTTTTCGTACATAAGTAAAGGAATATGAGGTGAAGTTTATAGTGTGTGAGTGCTGACCATCTTCTTGAGAAATCCACAGGAAGCAAACCAAAAATTTCGTGATTTGGAATATTATTGTCGTTCCTAAGCAAAACTCACATAGCTTCTGCCAACAGTCGACGCGCTTCTTTTATTTGTACACGTTCTTCTGAGTCACATTTGAGCTCTCGTAAGCTTTGAAAAGCGGCTCACACTCTCAGTAAGCTGAAGACGAGTTTGAAGTACAAAATTTGCGCTCATCTTGCGCGCCAAAGCCGCCGCACGCGGTGTTGCTCCGGCTCTTATCCATGATCTAGCGGGTGGGTTTTCGCAATTTTGTACACTGGATGATGCGCTAGTGAATGTCGAACTACTTTTTCTTCAAAAGTATCCAAGCCAGATGCTTTGTTTGAATTTTGACCGCTTCTCCACTCCAACTCTATGCGAGCCGATGATATCGTTGCGGCTCATGATAAAAATGGCAGTCTTGCGCAACTAGGCGAGTGATCCATAAATCGATTATCGCTTCAACTCATGACATTAAGGAAAATCGCGTTGCGCGATTTTCCAAGATTAAGCCCCATCTATCATGGGGCGATATTATCATGTGGACTTTGTGCGAAGAAAGCCATACGCAATTTTTAAAAATTTGCTTTTGAGAGAATTTGGATGCTTTATCATGACGCTTGGCACTACGTTGTTGATTGATGTGCAAAAACTGGTTGAATGTCCAATCTGCCGTGAGAATTTTGTAGATCCACTACAATTAAGTTGTGGACATACGTTTTGCAAGTCATGTTTGGACAAGCTTGTAAGTTCTTTCAATAAATGATACATTGTCAACGACAATATGAAGTGCACTTTGCTCCAGATATGCGAAGCAAAAACGAAAGTAGAGAGCACCGGATCGGTCCAAAAGCACGTGCCGCCTGCAAAAGCGGGCAAAAATCGATTAAGTTTACGTGTGTTTAGCTATTCCGCTGATGCCTAAAATGAAGTCCGGAAAGCGCGAGAATGTTTCGTGAATGTTTTGAGTGTTTAGTGTCCAACGTGTTCACTGAAGTTGGGTGTATAGGCGCAGAGTTCGCCAAGTTTGAATGAAAGAGTCTTCGTAGACCTTGCGCTCATGACTGTATAAGCGCAATTTGACTTTTATTAGGTTGCTGCATAAGTTCTATCTGATTTGAATTTTTTGAGTTCAAAATGTCATAATTTCTTTCAAAGTCAACTTTTTTCGTATGTTGAACAATTCCCTGGCTATCAGATTCATATTGAAACCTGCGGAAACCTTTGTCAAGGAAGAAGCAAGAACTCAAAAACTTCACAGCGTTTTTCTTCACACCTTTCTTTTTTGACATGGCAATGCTCCCTTATGAGAATTGATAGGCATCTGTCTAACAACGGATAAATAGAGATAAAAGAGCCGATAGGGTCTGCGTTTCCGAGAGATTTTTTTGACCGAACAAAAAAAAGCCACTTTTTGACCTCGCTTCAGCGCATGTGTGCATGCCTATTTACGAACTATGAAAATTTTACAATTGAAGGGAGCGCCGAAAAGATATCTTTAAGTGGACCCTGCTAGCTCTTGCTTTACTCCAGCACCTCCAACATTGAGCTCATCGATTACTTCTATTCCCAGAAAGTTATTGTTTGTAAAACATCTATACAGAAAATTAATGTTTGACAGTAAATTTTACTAAGACGTTTTCTTCATGAAACTGAACTTATGCTTATGCTAGCCTGTTACACCCTTATTCCACAAGCAATCAAAAAACTTGGTCTGAAGGGCGCATTGTCGAGATTTCCTCGTTAGAATATATTTCTGAGGTGGGAACGTACCTCGGCCAGTTGAAGATTTTAAGCCTAAATATCGTTACACTAAGAAATTTATTGAAATTTGATATGCCTTAGAAAGCGCAAGAAAGGCACTTTCTAATGGTACTAACAATGCCGCATTAGACTTGAAATTCTCTTAGAACAGCTGCTTCAAACATAAGGCAAAAAAAATCGGACAGAATTTATGCAGCAACCTAATATGAAGTATGTGGCTTGGTGGGAGTGGAATCGCCCACAAAAAGGCATTCATGCCAAAGTTTCTAAAGCGATTTCCTCGCTTTGGAAACAGATTGATGCTGTACCATTGGCGAAGATTAAGATGGGTGCTATCGCATTCTATATTTTTTCTATAAATTGTCATATTCTCCGTACGCTGCCTATTAACCTTTTCAAAACCAAGAAGTACAGGTGCTACTGAATGCGTTCGATGTTGATTAGCCTCTTTCAAGAGCTATGTTTCAGGTTGTTTTTAAAACAAGCTTACGAGGCCTTTTTCGTTGAAGTGGCTATTCGATATAGGATAAATATTGTCGAAATCAGTGATGATCACAATCGAGCTGCAATGCCTCACCAAAAAAATGCTTTTTCGCAAAAGGTTCTGAGTCAGAAACAAAGTTGAATAAGCACTGACTGTGAAAAAATTTGAACCTGCATGGCTCTAGCAATAGACGACTGCAATCGCATTGCCCACTCGAACCCATACGAAAGTATATGAAAGTACATCAGCAGGACCGAAAAAAAAACAGCAGATGAAGCTTAAAGTTTGGAATCAACATCCATCACTAATTTCACCAACATATACAATACCTCATTTTAAACGGTCACTGCAACTAATGAAGCCTTTCGTGTTTGATATTTTACGAAATTTCCGAAAGGCTAGGCGATAACTGGCACTTAGTCTTTGAAACAAAAACGCTCTTCTGATTTCGCGAATTATCACGAAGTTTTCTCCGCCTTTAAAGCTCTCATTACTTCTTAATTGTTTTTTTTGCAACTGAGCTGTCGCGCTTGACAGTGTAAAAAATGGAAAAGCCAGTCACATTTCTTTTGCTACTAATATTTCAGAAAGACTTCCAAAACTCCGATATCCTTTGTGATCATGCGATGGACGCGATTTACTTCAAATCGAAACCTGATGCCGACGGTCCGCTTTCTCTTCCTTCTTTTCCACATCCCTTCCACGCTCCCTTCGTCCCTTCCCCTCTATTCATTGATTGACGACAGAACTAACATTGAAACAGAACTAACAACAAAAAATAAACGAAAAGAGAAAGCAAGCTCAATAAACACCGGTAGTCCAATAATAAGGAAAGGAAACGTTTGCGAGCTGGTTTGATTAGGAACGAAGGAACAGGGTGGTGCCAAGAAATCCCTCTGTAAGCTTTTGCATAAAAGTTTTTCGAAAGCATTTATATTCATAAAGAAGATCTTTGAGTAAAGGGGTCGGCCAGCTCAGAAAACCGGCTCCACTAAATTCGAGAACAAGTTGGACACGGCTCTATTCAGATGAGTTTCCAAAAACATTTTTGGCCATAGTTTTATCATCTGCATGTTCATGCCATGATGATGATGTATATCACTGCGTATTCGTTGTAAACAATCTTTTATTTAGGGCATAATTTTCAACTTATGCGGGCGCGAGACTGTGTTACACCGCGTAAATAACGGCCCTGTCTCTTATTCAAACCAGTAAGGATGTCTGAGTATATGTCTTACGCAGTATTCGATTCTGTGTCTCTTTGTGTTTCCCGGAAATCTGCTCTAGATCCCTCAAATTATATTTTTTCATTTATAAAAGACCAGACACCAGTGGCGTCACTGCACTCTGTTCCCTACTTTCATTTTGACTTTATTTAACTTAGCTAACTTTCAAACCATTCCTTTTCCACTCCCAAATGAACTTCGGTAATTAGTAGTTAGAACAAAGCTTTTGCAATGCAACACTGTATTCGCATCGCTCTAGCTGTCCCTTTCCGGAACAATTGGAAGTCTGCTAGATTTACATTTTCACCAACAGCTTGAAGAACCTTCGATTCTGAAGATTTTGAAACTCCATAGATATGGCGATATTACCAGCGAATTCTCCATATGTTGCAAGCGGAAATAGCAGTTGAAGGGAGCATTTCTCTTACTTTCTAGCTAGCGCTGCATCTCCGATGGGGCAAAGCAAGTTCTACCAGATGAAATGAAAACATTTGCACATTTATTTCGCATATAGTTTGAAGGAAATCAAAAATCGGCACTGCCTACTCAGACAGTCGACGGCATACCCCCGGAGCAGAAATGGCAGAGCCGCGGGGTTTCCCCAGCGAGGGTTTGCCACTTGTGCTCCGGAGCCCTCTCAGTTTGTGCTCCGGAGACCTCCCATTTGTGCTCCGGAGACCTCCCATTTTTTGCTCCGGAGCCCTCCTATTTTGTGCTCCGGAGACCTCCCATTTGTGCTCCGGAGACCTCACATTTTCTGCTCCGGAGCCCTCTCATTTTGTGCTCCGGAGACCTCACATTTTCTGCTCCGGAGCCCTCCTATTTTGTGCTCCGGATATCTCCCACTTATGCTCCGGAGTCCTCCCATTTTGTGCTCCGGAGACCTCCCATTTGTGCTCCGCAGACCTCCCATTTTCTGCTTCGGAGCCCTCCTATTTTGTGCTTCGGAGATCTCCCACTTGTGCTCCGGAGCCCTCCCATTTTGTGCTCCGGAGACCTCCCATTTGTGCTCCGGAGACCTCCCATTTTCTGCTCCGGAGCCCTCCTATTTTGTGCTCCGGAGATCTCCCACTTGTGCTCCAGAGCCCTTCCATTTTGTGCTCCGGAGGTGTCCCGAATCTGGCGTACCTCCGGAGTATACTTGGGTAATTCGAAAATCTTTCATCGAATGAATGATTATCGAATAAATTCGAAAAGGAAAAATTTCGAATAAACGAATATCGAATAAATTTGAAAATAAAAAATCTCGAATAAACGAATATCGAATAAATTCGAGGTTCAAAAATTCTCGAATGAATGAATTCCGAATAAATTCGGAAAATCAAAACTTCGAATGAATGAATGTCGATCATATTCCAACAATCGGAGTCAAATTTTGAATAAATATTTGAACGAATTATCGAATAACTAGAGCAACCATATGTAAAACTTGCTGACATAGTCGGTTAAAGCCGATCCATTCATTATCAGCACCCTCGTATCCCCTATACCAACTCCTAGCTAAAAATTTCCAAAAATCGCTGAAATCGATAAAATAGATTTCGGTTTTAATAGCATCCTCATTTGCCCCCTGTACCAACTCCCAACCTCGTAGCTCAAGGTTTTCCAAAAATCGACAAAATCGATAATGTAAATTTTTATTCATAATTAGCACACTTCACTTCACCCCTCACTTGCCTCTTGTACCAGCTCCCAGCCCCGCAGCTACTCCTCCAAAAATTGATAAAATCGATAAAGTTTTATCCATAATCAGCACCCTCACTTGCCTCTTGTACCAACTCCCAGCCCCGCAGCTAAAACAGCTCGTTTCATTTGGGATTTTCTGAGACTTATAGCCAGGAGTCTACTGCCGGACGAAAATACACCAGTCATCTTCAAGCGGTCGCGAGCGTCGTGTAAGCGGCCGCACTTCGTGATCCTTGCGCGTTATGCAGCGTACGGGTAAGAACTGCCTTTGTACACCTTGATCCTGCGGCTTTGTTCGATAGCAGACCTTATTTGTCAGGCTTCCACTAGATTTTAAAGACGTTTAGCAGAGTAACAGGTAAAATTGGCTGGAGCTGAAATCTAAAAATGAGAAACATTGCAACTCGGTGTAAGCACCTAACGAGCTGTTCGCATTCATAGCGCTTGATGTGCGATCTTTCAAAGCAGTAACGGTGGCCACATATGTACTTGATTGCCACAAATGCTACGATACATTGCCTGTTCATCGGAAACTTTCGTCTTATGTGGTATAAGCTAGTCGTGGACGAAGGCATGTGGTTTATTCCGCGAAGCGAGCACGAATGCCCCTATAGCCCCGGGCATACTGCAGGCATTTCAGTGGCGACGTGGTTTGGCAATAGTCGAATTGTCCAAAAGTTATTCTAGAGAACGGAATGAGGGCATTTATCTTTTTGGTAAGTTGTACACGCTAAACATTTATGGTAAGCTGGCGTTACATTTGAAGACATTTCGTAACTAGCAAATCGCGTACGGCGATCTAAACCGTCTAATTATCCACTACGACTGCGATGTCGTTTACTGAAAACACATCAATTCGCAAAAAATCTCTAAGGTAGCGAATAGAGGCAGTTGTGCAATGTAAACTAAGTGAACAAGAGTGCTCGCTAGTGTGGGCTTTGCGTACCACAAGCATGAGCAATGCAAAGAAAGAAAAACAGGCATTTCAAAACACTTTCGATTTATGAACTCGGAACATGAGCTTGAATTTGATAGCTTCTTTGCTGATTTGGTGCCAATAGCAGTGCGAACAATCACAATGATCGAAAAAGCATTAATTAAATTCCACATATGATTTTTTACTGCCGCAAGCAGTCGGAAGAATGCGACTCTCCATACAGTTCAAAGTCATAACGGTTGCAAAAGATGCATTACCGAGTTCTGCGAAAAAAACGCGAAGTGAGCTTGATACTTAGCAGTTGACTCTGCAACAAAGTCGAATGATCTGAATACGGAGCTCATCCGAATACGAATTTGAATAAACATTCGAATAAATCATTCGAATAAAATCTATTCGAAACCTCGTTTTTTGATTATTCAAGTTTTCGAATAATATTCGAATCCTCGTTTTTGGGTTATTCGAGTTTTCGAATTTTATTCGAAATCCCATTTTCTCAATTATTCGAGTTTCGAATATTATTCGAAAATGGAGGAACTCCGAAAATCGAATTTCGAATACGAATATATTCGAATGTTTTATTCGATTGATCGAATTTCTATTCGATTCGGACCCAAGTATACTCCGGAGCGCAAATCTGTGCTCCGGGGCTCTCCCAAATCTGGCGTACCTACGGAGAGATTTGCAAGCCCGCCGGAGGGGTCCCATCTGCCTTCTTGTGACCTCACCGTGGCGTCGCAAATGGACCGCCCCCTCGCCCCGCTCTCAATGGTCAGTTGGGTCCTCCGCAGCTCTGCCACTTTCGACTGTCCTCCAGAGCTACGGCACCGATTGTCTGAGTAGTTCTTATAGATTTCTAACTTGCTCAGGCATATATTTACTCCTATCAAATGATACATCTATTGTTTTCTCCATAGCTGTAAGTCGAGGAAGCGAATTTTGGCATGCATTTGTCAAGGCAACGCTGAACTGTTCCCATATAAGTATACTCCTCGTCTTGTGGACCATGTTTTGCACTATCAAAAGGTAGAAGATCATTGAAAAATTGATTTTCCTTGTTGCGATTAAAATCTAGAACGGGAAAATTATGAAAGAGCGATTTGTCATGAAAATCCGTGAATTACTAAGTTGGACAAAAAAAACGAAGGGTCAGAGCTTTTTGAGAAATCTAAGCGTTGTCATGAGAATCACTAATTCAACACAGCCGTAAAAAATGAAGTTCTTCATCAGACACAGTCAAATGTGACTGCTCACCTTTTCTTCCTACAAAATTTGCGAGTAAGTCTAAAAAACGACATGAACTTTTGGATCGGTCTATATTAGCTACTAACAACAAAAGCTACTGTCTTGAACTTCATTTATTCAGCCTACCGCCCAGACTAGCAAAAGCGCAAATGATTGCGATCCATTTGTGAGATGTCCAGAATGTCGTCAAGACACAAGACTACCTCTATCGAGTCTACCTATCAACTATCGTTTAAGAGGTGCGCTCCCTCATTTATTTTTTTCACTTTTATCATCATTATATCACGGTAATCGGAGGGTAATGGAACACTTCGACAAGCTCTCTCAAGAAAGAGAACTCATTAAACACTAAGTTTAGAAATCGCACTTGTTCAGGTGAAACTGGTAAAGGTCATCTGCAGGCGCGGTCATTTTTATAATTACTGAAGCTCGAAGCTACTTATGCCTTATGCTTAGTTATGAATGTGCATCATATTTGCAGTAAAACATCTGCACCACTTGAACTATCAGCGATCACTTGAAGTACCTCTGCACTAATGTGGAGAGGACTGTCACCAAACTATTACAGTTTTGTAATATCAAGGCTTTTTGTCTAAGGATGTCCTAGGATTCGTTGAGCCTTTGCAATGAATTTGGTAAGAAGCGCTTCGTTCAACATTGCGAAGTGGTTGATAATGATAGATAAGCTTTTACCTTCACCTTCGGGTAGACGAGCTTTTGGAACTACAGAAACCGAATTGCTCAAAAGGCTCTGCCATTTTCTCAATACGTCGTCTATACAGCGGTAGACTTGTACGCTTAGCTTGAATACCACCGCAACCCTGGGGAGTTTGGTTCGCCTTGGACGCTCTTTCTTCAGAAATAAGTGGTGCATTCTGCGTAATCATAATCCACTCCAACCACCCTGTTCGGGAGGAATTCGCTCAAGACTTTGAAATTATAGTATTCTTAGTCCGTAAGATTTACTTGATGAGGAGTTAAAAGGAGCAAAATTTGGAGTCATGTTAGATTACTGCAAACCTCTGCATTGCAGATGAAGGGTTTCAATTCCACTGTTGCAAATGCGTCTTTGCAAAAATTCTGGCGACGTTTGCATAAATACGTCGACACGCAAAAAAACTGTCAACTTTCTACCAGAGTTCTTGCGCGTCGAAAATTGAGTTTTGCGTCCCAGAAGTGCGGTTACACCTAAGTAAGACTGAGCTTCGTTCATCAATATCGGCGACTACGCAATGTTGGTCCACCATATTCATTGCAAAGACTCAGCGAATCGTAGAACATTCAATCTAGTTAAGCAAGTACTTGAAAAATGGATAAAAGAGCAGTTTTCTAAAACAATGTAATTTTTTATGCGTTTTGAAGCAAAAATTGCAGCATGAATTTTCTTTCAAAAAACGACAGCTTCCAGGTGTGAAAGATTTCTCACACTTTGATGCTGTTTATGTACAAAAAAAATCTAAATTCAAAGAATGTAGTATTGATCGAAAATCGGAGGTGACTCTATAGCTGACCAGCCTTCGGAACAGGTTTTTTCAAAGTTTTCATTTTTCACTTCGGTCAAAATCAGTGAAATTGCGAGCCGTTCTAGTCCGTGATATGACGTTGACTTACACATAGAACAGGGTTTTTCAAACAATTTCGTCCAAGAGAGGGCGAATTACAGCGATTTTTAGGGTGGCCCTAGAACTATCCAGCACTGTATATACAGAGTGGCCCAAAAAGATGTGCACACTGCTTGATCGCCAGTGACTCTTTTGCATTCATGTGTTTTGCCGACCTCAAGGTATCATTTTGTAAAGCGAGGTTCAATTTAGATTTATAGGTCTTTATTACTGTAGAATTACGGTATGAACTTTCTGCATGCAGCTCTAGTGTGGACCAGACTTTTTGGTGAAAAAAATTCCAAAAAATCTGGAAACTTGTGTAACAAGGTTTTTCAAACGTGCTGATTCCATTGCACACCTTTTTACCAGTTTTCCAAGCTTTTTTAATGGTGTAAACACATGAACATTGGAAAAACAGTTGTTACCGTAAAGTTGAAACGGTCTACGAAAAAGCATTTCAGTAAAGTAAATTTCACATTCAAAATCAGCGACCTCAGTCAACCCAGTACAAGAGTTTCTGGCTTGCTTGGCATTCTTTTTGAGGCAAACTCTTTCAATGACCTAAAATCCTTTGCGAAGTTCCTACCGTGATCCCACAGTAACGAAGAAAGATCGAAGACTCTTTCCAAGCTGTGAATATGAATTGACCCTCGCTCTACAACATGGCACCTCAAGCTCGGTGAAAGACATGAAAGCAAGTGATAATAACAGTGTGCATAACTTTTTAGGACACCCTGTATAGTCGTAACAGTGGTGTGCTTATATAAAGGATGGATACCAACATAAGCAGGCGATTGAGGACGGGATGTATATCACTAAACGCGCCTTTAAACGCTGATTTTAAATCTGCTTTCCTTTTTGTGGAACAACTTTCGAAAGAAGTTAAGAGCGTTCGAATGTTCGAATTTGTCAAGCTTAGGTGGCCTCAAGAAAAGGAAAAAGCTGTTATAAATCGCATAGGTGTCTTCCTAGAGCTTCTTGCCAATTTTAAGCCACTTATTACTCGACAAATTGGACATTCAAACGCTTATAACTTCTTTTGGGTTGTTCCGCAAATAAAGGAAAGCATTTAGAGAACCGTCTAATGATATACATAAATAATGTCTTCAGTTACCAGCTTATGCTGGTATCCTTCCCTTGTCAGTCTTGGGGCTTGGTTTCTCGGATAAAGGCTCTTCTTTCGCTGTGGTACATAACACCTAAGTCTGAGGGTATATATGCTTTGTCATGAAGAAAGATGAAAGATGTTAATGAAGAAGTGGAGAAGATGTGTTGAAGATATTTACTCTTTAAAGAAAAGAAAAGACAACCAAAACAAACTTACATTTGCTACAGCCGAGCTGGCAAGAAAGTGAAGTGTGCAATTGAATTGCAAAGTATGGAACCTAATAACAACGAGATACAATCGTGCTATTATGCGTTCATGTCGATTAGTACTTAGCCTAAGCTTTTGCATGTTGCCCACATACACCAGCTAGTGAACAATATTCGGTGATCACATCGAAGAGCTTTTTGGACTCCGTCAGTAAGATGCATTTTACCTTATTTTCCTTCTACCTCTAGGAATTGACGACGAAAGACGGTTTTTTGGGGTTTTGTTGCATTGAAAATTTACAATTTCTCAATTTTTTGATTTTCTACTTGTAAAAATGAAAGCTCCGCATTTGTACGATTGTTAGAAAACTTGAAAAGCTCTTCCAAGCGGTTTGCTACTTGCTCCATAACTTTGCGGTACAACAGCGCAACTGAAAGAATGGTTTAAAATTTCAGTTCAGTGCAAGGCACCACCCTAAGGACTCTACGAGAGCAGCTGTAGAGCGTTGCTAAAATGATATGCGGAGGTTTTTTACACAGGGCGTCTCAAAAAGATGTGCACACCGTTTGATCTTCTATAACTTGCTCGCTTCGATTTCTTTCGTCGACTTTAGATATAGGCGATTTGCATGCGCATAGTGGGCGTGGCCCCGCAAACATTCAAACATGTTGAAAAACTTGTTGAAATTCCATCTTAAATCATTAGTTTTGTACGCTCTAGCTATCAAAGACTGCCATACGCATACGTTGGAAAACGTCGGCAAAGCTCCGCCCGCTATACTGTGGGGAATGGACGATACCATTCTGTAGAAATGGTTTCTAACTACTAACAAGGGAAATGTCACAAATCGCAGTGGCCGTTTGAGATGAGATAGGTGGTTGACACGTCACTCGGAAGGGCATAAACCACCCTCGCTAGCTGCAGAATAACTCTGGGTGGGGAGCTACGGGCGCTTTCCTGCTCGAGACCTAGCGCGCCTTGCTCGAATACGACTGCCACGGCTCATCATGCCGTGGCAATCTGGCGCAGTGGTAAGTGTGCTGACTACCGTGCAGATGTTTGGAGGCTCGAATCCTCTGTTGGACAGCTTTTTTGCAATTTATATACAAATTCCTAAAATGTGTAGATTAGCGACCAAAACGTGATTTACCTCTTTACTGGTGCTTAAAAGTAGAAAATGTTCTATTGTGAAGACCTTCTGTACGCGTGATGAAGCAATTAGATAAGTTAGATAAAACTTTATTGTCAGATTGAGCGCGGTTTCGCAGTCTTCGTCTGGCGCTCATTTCGTTCAAATTTTTCATTTTCGCACGTTTCTAATGCTCTCTCGCATAGTTTCACTGTATTTGACCTTCATTTTCAAGAAAAGTATCATGGTGTGCTTTTTTGTTCTTAAGCACCAGTAAAGAGGTAAATCGCGTTTGGGTCGCTAATCTACACACTTTAGAAGTTTGTATATGAACTGCAAAAAAACTGTCCAACAAAGGATTGGAACCTCCAAACATCCGCACGGTAGCGAGCACACTTGCCACTGCAGCCACATTGGCACGGCAGGCTGAGGGTGGCAGTCGTATTCGAGCAGGGTACGCTGGGTCTCGAGCGAAAAAACGCCCGTAGCTCCCCTCTCGTAGAGTTGTTCTGCAGCTAGCGAGGGTGGTTGGAAATTTGGAAATGCCCTTCCGAATGACGTGTCACGCAACCCATCCCGTCTCAAACAGCCACTGCGATTTGTGACATTTCCCTTGTAAGGAAAGCTGCCTAACTTAGCTCGACCTTTTGACAAGGAATACATATTCTAAATCATCTTGAAACATTGATATGAAATATGCTATTCCTAGCCGCGGCGCACTATCCCAAAGCAAGTTATGGGCCTTTTATTGCGCGGAACTGGTACACTGCCGAACATGGGAAAACTGCTTCCAGATAAAAATCTGCAAGAAGGTGCTTAGATATGGAAATGACATCAAATCCAAAATTTTCTTGTTGAAGAAAAACATAGAGCAAGAATTAACACTTAGATGATAATGCCTCCAGTAAGTAGATGAGTATACGGATAAATGTAAAATGAGTTGCTCCAGATTGATGCGCTATAGCCAGGAATAGCATATTTGGAATTAGCATTTGAAGCTGATTCAGAATATTGAGTCTCTTTTCGAAAGGCTAAGCTATGTTAGCTATGTTCCTTTGTTAGATTTACTGTATGACTCGATTACCGATCTATCTTCATTACTGTAGGACTACGGGAACTTTGGAGAGAGTTTTCAGAAGTTGAGGCATGATAGATGTTGTAATTTCAAACGAAAGCAACTGGATATGTATCAGTGCACGATCATAACTCCATACAAACTTGATATGCTATACTAGTCATTCGGTCATTTTTCGAGTCTTTCCTGATCTCGAATTTCATAAGGCCAAAATTTTGCATATGTTACAAAAAAAACGAAAATAGTCGCATGCCACTAATACTATTAGAATTCTAATAGTTCAATTCACCAGAGTACTCAATGTACGCCTTAAGGCGTACATCGAGTACTCTGGTGACAAAAGTGGAAAGTGTTATGTAAGTAACCATCTCTGACGATAGTTTCAGCTCATCCTAACTTTTTGCTTCCTTTCCAAATGAGTTACATTTGATTCATTTCAAAACTATGTTTACAATGGAGATGGTATCTGAAAATTCATACTCACTGATTCGAATCACATAAGTAAAAATATAATAGTTGTTAGCTTTGCTTCAATCATCTTTCATTTCATGCCAGTTCGGTAGTAGCTGCCTTCTAAATCTAAAAGCTTTTTTAGTTAGTTAAGGCCTTATACTTCTGTGCCGTTTTTTGTTTCCTGGCAACTATTGCCTAGATTTTTTGACTAGTCATAGGCGCACATGTTGTGTAATAAAAATAAAAGAAAAAATATTGTACAAATTCAAGCAAACTCGTAAGCCCATCGCGCAAAGAAATTTAAAAATGAATATGGGCCAAAATTGCGAAAATGTGGTCTTTTAAAGTTTTCTATGCTAGTCTCGATATCTCTTAGAAAATTATGTAAGGCATGCAAAATGAAATCTACGATTGCCGAAGGTTGGCAGGCGAAACTATGCTAAATCTTTTTCTCTATTATTACTTCGCGAAAAATACAGCAAGTGTACATGTGAATATACCGCATGGACAGCATATGCGGGTACTGCTCACTTTAACCTTTACTATGCCTCTGGCATGTGGTGCGTTAGTGCTGGCCCACAAAATTTGAGCGAATATGAAGAACTTATTTTGGAATAATCTTCGTCAGACATTCGGCAAATTCACATCAACACTTGATGAAATCAAGATATTGTTGTTTGCTGTTTAGATATGGCGGCACTTTTCTCCAGCTCGTCTACATCAGCTAGTGCGACACATGCCGATAGCAAAAAAAGAAAATACTATTGGATATGCTCAATATGCGGTGACGTTTCGACGAATGGCGTGTTCATGTCATGCTGTGACTGTGCTGTAGATGACAAACAAGCTGTAAGCTTCTCTGTACTTTCCATAGGCAGTAGTGTCGCCCAAAACGCAAGCTCCTGAAACTATATTCGACATTGTATCATTTGGAAATCAAACTTTCCAGTTGTATTAATCAAAAAAATTCCATTGTCGTTATGTTGGCTCAATGTGGAGCTACGTTTACAATAGGGAATTCCAAGCAAAATTGCAAAAGTAATTTCAACCTATGCAAAGTTTTATGCCGCTCAGCAGTGTGGATTGCATTCAGAGCAGAGTATATTCAGAAGCATCTAGTCAGTCGAATTGTAGTCAAAGGCAAGCTACGAAAAAGATCATTACTTAGCTTATAGTTGGGTTAGCAATTTTTCAAACCTCTGGGATATGCGCTACTGGTTCTTATCAGTCTTTGTAGAGGTTGCAAGAGTTCATTCAGGTTATTTGCCATTTCTCAAAGTGCTCAAAGGTAAATGCCACATTATCTAGTACTAAAGCGCAATGATTCATTTCAAGACTTTTCCCCATCTGCTTAAGTGCCAACCACCAACCCATTGGCAAAAAAAGCGTGTGCTTACGTTGTGAGTACATAAGCAAAGCTTTTGTTTGTTCTTCTCATTATTACTTACCCGATATTGCATCGGGCTTCCTTTTATCTTGAAAACATTTGCTGTGCACTGTGCAAAAGTTTGGTGTGTTCGACCTTTGAGCAGCTGATTCCGGCAAATTTCGCAGACTACTTTTAAGCAGACATTCGCCGTTTTTATTAGGTTGAACACTAAGTTTTGCAACTTGTTTCATAACTTCACTCTCATTCAACATGGCGCACTCAAACTTTGGCATCATGTAGAATTCAATGTGAGCTACAAGCGAGCACAAATTGTCTGAATTTTGAATACGAAATAGAAAAGCCCAATCCTAAGAACAAGCGGATTTCGCAAAGGATTCAGCTGCATGGACCACATCCAGACGGTTTCGGGGGTCATAGAAGTGTGCCGGGAGTACCGACTGCCTCTCGTCCTAACCTTCGTCGACTACGAGAAAGCCTTTGACAGCGTCGAAACCAACGCCATCCTGTCTGCGCTAGTCGATCAAGGAGTGGAACCAGCTTACGTGAGGACACTAGCCGACTGCTACAAGGACTGTACAACAACGATGCAGCTATTCCATCGCCCCCTAACCATTCCAATTGGGAAGGGGGTTCGACAAGGCGACACTATTTCGCCGGAGCTGTTCACCGCGGCCTTGCAGTGGGTGATGAAGTCACTAGACTGGGAAGAGAGAGGCATACGAGTTGATGGGAGATTCCTATCCAACCTTCGTTTTGCGGATGACATCGTCCTTTTCTCGAGCAGTATCACTGAAGCAGAGGCGATGCTGAAGGAACTAAACGAAGTAGGGAAGAAGATCGGACTGCGAATAAATCGGAAGAAGACTCAGTTCATGAAGAACGCCCTTTGCGAAGACGCAGAAATGGAATTGGAAGGCACCTCTATCATGGAGACGTCTTCTTACGTGTATCTCGAACGTTCGATGAACATGGAGAACGACTTGAGGGAAGAACTTAACAGGAGAAGAAGAGCAGCCTGGGCCGCCTTCGGGCCTCTGAAGGAAGCCACCGACCAACTGACGGACCCGAAGCTTCGTGCCCACCTGTTCGACTCAACCGTTCTCCCAGCGCTCTGCTACGCAGCTGAGACTTGGGCCGACACCGTAGCCACGTCGAAAGCTTTAAGGACCACCCACAGAGCGTTCGAGCGCAGTCTTCTGAAGATGACCCGACACAAGCAACATCTAGTCGGACTTCGCAGCACGGATATGAAAAGAATGTCCCGTCTTCGTGACCCAGCGGAATACGTTGCGAAAGCGAAACACCGATGGGCCGGTCACATAATGAGAAGAACGGACGATAGATGGACACTAAGAACATCTGAGTGGATTCCTCGCGAAGCCAAACGTCCTCGAGGAAGACCACCGACGAGATGGGCAGACGTGTTCGTGGAACGGATGGACCAGCTGAGAAATCAGCTGGATACGATTCTTGCCCCTGGAACTCGTGGACGCAGCCACCGACGACGACCAAGAAGATCGTGGATGTCCGAAGCGAGGGACAGGGATCAATGGCGACTTCTGTACTGGGGCCCGCACGTCACGTGAGGACGGGCCATCTAAGTATCTAAGTAAGTAAGTATAGAAAAGTTTTAGGCATTTTTCGAAAACTACTGAAATTTGAGAATTTTTGGGGATTCTAGCTAAAATGAGGCCTTTGGCAGCCTAGAACATGCGCAGTAATCCGGATTCGTCTACAAATTATTGCTAAAGGTTGACTCCTTTGGCCTATTAAGAAAGAAACAAAATTTAGGGGCATGTCGAGATTTGGCGTCCTCATAAAATCGAACGAGTCGATGTACGCAAGAGCTGCTGGGGACGACCGTCAATGACTAAAGAGTCCGAAGATCAAATTCCGCCGAGACTTTGCATAATAAGGTTATTTGACCTGCCAAACGCGAATATCACTTTCATTTGTTGAATCAACGCCTTTTTCCTTGTTTAGGGTGAGACCATATCGTACACCTACAGTAATCCTACAAAAGAACCCTTATCACGCAATTTCACTATCGTTTTCGTGATCAGCATGTCGGATAACACCCCTATGCCAAGTTTCAGCTAAATCCGTCAAACTTTGTTTTCTCCTTCATACCATGCACCTACCGTAACCCTCACTGCGACGTCCGAATTTGGTAGGACAGCAGCTGAGCTTGTAGCTTACCTTATAACCAATGCAGTGGCAAAATTTGAGTGCGCCATGTTGAAGTGAGAGGAAAGTTAGACTAGTTGCAAAACTTAGTGTTCAACCTAATATGTCCACTTAACAAATTGTAATAGTTTTGAAAGAATCAGCGAGACTAAATTATTTTTATCATTCTTGATATCATTCTTGATATCCCTAAAGTCTTTGCTTGATCTGTGAATTTTGCATGAATTTTTTTAAAGAGTTCCACAGTGATCTATCATACCGTGAAGGAAGTAACCATTCGTTACTAGCGTTGAAGCAAAGTCAATGTTGGCCATGCAAGCTGTTAATGAGAAACGCTCAAATCGCTCTGAGAGCTTTCTGAGAGCGTAAAACGTCAAAAAGTGGTTAAATTTGATTTCATGTTGTTGATGGTCTTAGACGCTGTTAGAAATCTTCCAATCAAAATGATCTGCACCATGCGGGCGTTTCTGCCATAGACATCCAACATCCAACACGTTCTCTAAATCACTGCAGTATTCAGCTACAAATGTGTCCTGTGTGTTGTCTCGTATACCACAACGGACATAACATACTGAAGCTAATGGAAGGAAGTACTCTGCCAGCATCTCCAATTGTAAGTTGCAAGGCTTTGAAAAACTCAATCGACTTTACATTTGCACCTCTGCTGTGATCAGATTTTCGATGAACCTATAACGGTGTGTGAAAATATAGTAAATGAAGAACTCCTATCATCATCGAGTTCGAGTTCTTGCATCATATATGCAAAGCATACCATGAAAGCCGCAAGGCAGACCAACTTGTAGGCTCTATCATCGAAAAAAACATCGGGAAACAAATTTAGGCTGATATGAAGCCCTCTCATCAGAAACACTCTTCTCAGCAACCTTCAGATGTAGCAGGGTCAGCATTCAGTGAGGTATACTTATTGAAATGTTGATTGGAAGAGCTCACTAAACCTCCGGTTCAGAGCACATCAGACTTTCAACAGGGGCAACCCCAAGTCACTTCAGCAATGGAAATGGATCGCACAATATCTAGTGAGGTATATTCTAATAATGCAATGAACCGTGATCCGTTTGAGTTCGGTGACCATCAGCCGAACGATCATGTCGTACTGTTGTTTGACAATTATTCGTAACTTTTGCTTCTCATAAATAACGGCCACGAATTATACACAGATGGAGAAGTCGAAACATACACAATCCAGGAGCGACGCGAGGATACCATGATTGAAGTGGAACATGTAAGCAATGTGTAATGCAAAGAATGTGGAACATGTTTCAGTTTCAGATCTCCGCTAATATGACATTTGGAGCAAGACCTCGTTCTGAAAATGCAATAAGGTTACTTCCTGCGGCTATTGAACGTGCCAAGAAATACTGCGATTGTAAGATGCTCACGGTCTTCGTCATCGGTTTACAATACTTTGCTTGTTTTATTTTACTTGTTCTATTGAGATTTGGTGTAATATGAAGTCAGTGATATTCGGTAACATTCTTGACAACCTATGAAGCTGCTACACAAAGCAGCGTAACAAGATTTTTCTTCAAACTTCAAAAGACTTTCATTTTTAGAGTAAGTGACTTTGCTTATTTTTTGGAGGCGCTATACCCCTCGAGGAGTATAGCATGGCGACGGTTCGATACGCATCAAATACGTGTAAAACCGGCGATTTTTTTCGCCGATATTAGCGGTCGCCAATCGCCAATATCGGCGACTGTACTTTACTTACAGTCGAGTAGATTTAGCGGTAAATATAGTGTGCTTGCACAGAAGGTGAAATGCGGTAAAATTGGCGCGTGAAGAAATAGTTTCGACTGTGACGCCGGCCAATTGCGCGCGCAAGATACCTGCGCTACTGACGTGGCTACTTGTTCACGCGCAAATTTCACCGCATTTCACCTTCTGTGCAAGCACACTATATTTACCGCTAAATCTACTCGACTGTACTTATTGATCGCAAACAAGTTACCACACGTCAAATCGATACATATCAAATGTGTAGTCGCCGAAAACTGGCGATCACCAATCGCCAGTGTTGGCGATTCCATGTTGGATGCGTTTCGATTGGACATGTGGTAACTTGTTTGTGATCAATAGGTATGTAAAGTACAGTCGCCGATATTAGCGATTGGCGATCGCTAGTTTTCGGCGACTACACGTTGGATGCGTATTGATCGAACATGTGATAATTCATCGGCGATCGATACGCATAAAAGAAAAAGTCGCATTGACGATGGCGATCGCCTGTCGCCATACTATACTCCTCGAGGAGTATAGCGGCTGCCTTACAGTAGATAGATTATCTGACTCAAAATCACTCGCATCTTGAAGCTGACTGAACATACATAAATCAGAACATTCACTTTTTCATTTTATGATCAATGTAGACCACTTACAGAAGCCTCGCAATCCAAATTTGGAAGCGAAGCCATGAAGATTCCTTGTACTTGTTTTTCAGTAAGGTGAAAATTTGAAACACTATAATAAAAACCGATTGTGTCATTAATACACTTTTATTACGAAAGGTTTGTACTTGCTTTTTAAAGGCTCCTACATGAACATTCATTTTCAACTGCGTAAAAACTTTTCTTCCTAACCTCATGGCTTTCCAAAAAGTGAATTTATTGAACATTCGTGTTCTCGTATACTACGCTTAAGGACGCAGTCTATATCACTGAGATTTCAAGCGTTAGTGCAGCGCAAGAGATTTTTGGGTGACTTGACTCGATAAAGAAAATTTGAATTTTTCTCTTCGGCTTCTATCTCTGCAAGCTGTAGCTGGTATATTGAACTAGGTTGAAAACTTCCAAATACTGGATGTTCAGACCTAGCTACGGAAAGATTACCAGTTTGTCCATTCACACATTTTTGGCAAATGGTTTGCGTAAACAATTTCGCTTTTTGTTTGAACATGAAACTTTTAACCGTACACAAAAAACGCTTCAAAAGCTACTTCCTGGATTTTTGGCTTGTAATGACGGTAAATCTTTGAGCGCAGACTCAAAAAACCAATTTGAATAAATTGCTTCACGTAGAAACCGATCTATATCTATGACATCCGTCAACTGACAATGTGTAGTTCACTATTCTGGCTCAACTTCCCTCTATGTGTGGCTGCTTGTGCTATGTATATGTCTTCCACTCAATTTAAGTGCATGAAGTTTCTATATCGACATTTATAGATCATTTGTAGTTTTAGTTTCATTAGCCTAGGTTCACACTTTCGCTAATCGTGAACCGCCCGTCCTATCAACAGCGGGCAGTGGCAGTCCCAGGATTTCGGAGTCGCTTGCATATTTTTATAACCCATATAAGTAACTTTCAAAAATTTCGCGACAGATTCTCGAGTGGGGTGGGGGAAAGGGGTGCCCCCACTTTTAACAGCTCATCTCAGTGAAGTATAGCACCAAGCCCACATCACTTCTCCTTACAGTGTTCTCTATATGAGTCAAAAAATTTTGCTCTCTAAAACAAATCATCACCGGGGATGAGTCAGCTAAATTTTACCCGCGGGCTTTCTGACACCCAGAAATAATGAGGTCATCATAATTTTAGAGTAAGCAAGATTTAGATTTCATACGTCATTTGATTAATTCCCTCCTGACTTTGCAGCCTCTTCCAGAGGATGCCGCATTTCCAGATGGCTCCAGTACTCTTCTCTTCACCTTCACTAAATTTCTATTATATCAATTAATTCCCTACGATTGCGGCTGGCTGGTTCCTCCTATGTTCAAAGTTTTCTGTCTTTTTTTTATTTATGGCACATCAGCGAGTGTATTCATATAAATAAATAAAATAAATACTAGATGTACATAATTTTGTTAACTTCGAGTTTTGATCTTACTTAGTTTAATTCGATAGAATTAAGGAGACTCTGCAAGATTTGGGTCCAAACATTTGCACTAATTTTTTGCGAATGTGGAGCAAAATAAAACTAAAAAAATCGAAGTGCTTAAAAAATCGAGAGAAATCGTAACTTAGTTTGAGTTCCACGCGAAATTTTATATGTGCGCTTCCGTATCTCCTCAAGTGGAAATCGGAAAAATAAAAATCTTGTTCTCGTTAAAGCAGTGCTGAGTTGTTCCCACAGTACCAGCTCGTCGATGGGTCCCCCCTCCCTAAAATGTACGTCTTTTACCCTGCCGAGGGCTTTCTCTCTTTTAACCTGGGGTCCGTTGTGCGATGGTTGCGAGTGTCCGCTTTCTCAAGGCAGAATTCCAAAACTCTAAATTTCGCCCGGACACTGCATAATTTGACCATCCTTGAAGAATTTTGTGGATTTTCCGTTTTTTTGGTAGAGTTCGTCATTTTTACTTTTATGTTATTGTCTCACGCAGCTATGGTAGATCACTTTTGCACTGTTTATCCGCGCTAGTCTGGCACACGATCTCATTTGCTAGTTCATTTTTGCTTGCGTGAAACTACAGCAAATATAGATTTTCCGTGATCACAGTGCGAACTGCGGTCCGCTTTCGGTGAAAACTTGTCTCCAATGAGAATCATCACATTGTTAAACAGATACATACAGCACGTTGAATCAAGTTGCTAGCTTATTCAATATATTCACGACAAGGACGATTTTTCGTTTACTGCCGTCTCGGACGAAAGCCCTTTTCTCCTTGTCAAACTTAGACCCACCCGCGGATCGCATTGTCCAAAATGGTAGTGTTTCTGGAACAAAATTCAAAACATCTGTTACAGAATTTCCTTTCCTAAGAGGGGTTATCGAAGGCTCTGATTATCAAGATATGATTCATTTTAGTTTTTGGTATCCTTACTACAGTGCTGGTCAAAAGTTTGCAGCCACTCCAGAATTTTGCTATATCTTACTCTTTTTCGCATAGAACGATTCCAAATTATGACATTACGTGCATTTCACACTACTTAACACTATGTCAAGAAATTTTGCAGTTACATGCATACCGAAGGCGTCTTTGAGGAAAATGGTGAAAACGGCTGAATTGAGGTTGGTCAAAACTTGCAGCCGCTTTCTTATAAATGTCTTTAAAAAACTTGTCACAACTTGTCACTTTCCAGTATGTGGGCTACAGATGCACCAATAAACCTTGAGATATGCAGTGCAGCCAGCTTTTATCAAACTCCAAAAAAGGGAACTTTAAGGAGCAAAATTGCTTGAGCGCAAATTGACCGCAAAAATTGATTAAATCATGAGGTTGTTGAGAAATCATCGGCTGATCTATGCTCCTATAAAAAGGTTGCACCATCTGGACGTTTAGTGGCGGTTTGCGAATGTGACAGAAAAGGCATTAGTTGGTATGTCTCAAAAACTACCATCACCTCAACTCAGATTCGGAGCACCTTTCGGCTCAAAAACTGGGCTCAGCGGTCTGAGAAGTTCGCATACTTGACTAGAACATTGCTTTGAGAAAGACGAGCATTGGTCCTGATCTCGGAGAACTCTAATGAAAACATGGAGGCGCTACTGCCAGAGAAAAGTTTTTGCAATTATCACACCTAGAAAATGTTTGATTTGCCAAAGGGATTAATCAGCTGTGAAGATTGCGCAAGTTTTTTTCTGGCAGTAGCGCCTCCATGTTTTCATTGGAGTTCTCCGAGCTCCGGACCAATGCTCGTCTTTCTCAAAGCAATGTTCTAGTCAAGTATGAGAACTTCTCAGACCGCTGAGCCCAGTTTTTGAGCCGAAAGGTGCTCCGAATCTGAGTTGAGGTGATGGTAGTTTTTGAGACATACCAACTAATGCCTTTTCTGTCACATTCGCAAACCGCCACTAAACGTCCAGATGGTGCAACCTTTTTATAGGAGCATATATCAGCCGATGATTTCTCAACAACCTCATGATTTAATCAATTTTTGCGGTCAATTTGCGCTCAAGCAATTTTGCTCCTTAAAGTTCCCTTTTTTGAGTTTGATAAAAGCTGGCTGCACTGCATATCTCAAGGTTTATTGGTGCATCTGTAGCCCACATACTGGAAAGTGACAAGTTGTGACAAGTTTTTTAAAGACATTTAGAAGAAAGTGGCTGCAAGTTTTGACCAACCTCAATTCAGCCGTTTTCACCATTTTCCCCAAAGACCCTTTCGGTGTGCATGTAACTGCAAAATTTCTTGACATAGTGTTAAGTAGTGTGAAATGCACGTAAAATCATAACTTGGAATCGTTTTATGCGAAATAGAGTAAGATACAGCAAAATTCTGGAGTGGCTGCAAACTTTTGGCCAGCACTGTATAATATACATTCGATCCTTTCAAGCGCGACGGCAGAGTTTTCTGCGTCCCTCCTATCCTTAACCCCAGCGTGACGGAGGGTCCAGTTGCTGAAGGAATCCAGAAAAAGAAATGCAAAAATATAACGGCGCTCAGTGGTGGCGAGAGGAGAGGTCAGTAACCATTATGCCGGCGAGAGATTTGCTTGCACTATAGGTCCCGAGCGGAGCGGGTTTTTCAAACTTGAGCTAGGCGGCTAAAAATTGGTACAGGAGTGTATGTGCGCCTGCTGATTACGAAAACATTGGATTTTAGAATTATTGACTACCCATTAACTATCTTTGCTAATTTTGTTGCTGCACTCG